AAATAATAAATAATAACATTTAATCTTGCCAAATTGTAAGCTGCTTTCAAAGTTTTATATAATTGCTTTATAAATGCTTTACAAATTCATGTTTAACATAATTATTAAGCATTAATAACTCTTTTATAAAAGGGATCTTTTATTTTCAACAAATTACTTATAACATGCAATATTAAAAACAACACTAATGAAATAGAACACAACATGGTACCAGATAATAAACACATTTAAACAGGATAGCCTTTTTTTCTTTTTGCATTGACTTCATATTTCTTCAAGAAAAAAAATATAATATTGACGATTCACTATTTTGTGGAAATGTTAATTTGCCAAATGACCTTTAGTCTCACTTTGTCAATAAATAAATATTTACGAGCTCAGTTAGTCTCAAACAGCTAAAACTTACAACTAATTTTTTATTCATGTGAACAAGCAGCTTGTTGTCACTGAGGCAGGACTCTGCACACCTCAGCTGAAGTGCAGCATTTTAACATAAAACACATTTCAAATCTTCAACACATTATTTAGAGAAACAAGCAGGATAAACTACTCCGTTCTTCTGTTATTTATCTTTTAGTCATTCAGAACGCAATTATCAAATCTTACCTTTGGTTCCATCTCGCTCAGCTTTGTTCCAGCTGCAAAACAAAAACAGCTCTGCAGAGTTTCTGTGTTGTTCTGAGGCTGGACAAGCTGCTGGTTGTGTTGGGATGAAGGAGCGTGCTGCATTTTCTGTGTTTTGTATTTATGGCTGGTCATGCAGCCGCTTCAGCGTGTCCTCTACTGTCCTATTTTTTTCTGTGTCTATAAAGGTTGGCCTTATTCACTTGAAAGACACAGATGTGAGGTCGGGAAGTGTTTCACAAATTGATTTTTTTTCCTGTGAAACCTTGTGCTGTGGAAAAAATGGATCACCAGGGTGAGAAACTTCTAGTTTTGTTAGATAAAATGGGCACCAAAACTTCTCAAACGCTTCCTTTCGATACAATAAATTTATTTTGAGCATTTTTCAAAAAGGTCTTATTTGACTTTGTTCTATCTCTGCAGCTTTGTTACCTTTTTATGGTGTTTTATGTTTAATAGAGGCTTTTGTAAGAGCTGCAGCAAACATGAAGCTCTACAAAAAGTATTTATAAATGTGTTCCTTCTCAAGAAGTGAGATACTTGTATTGTTTCACAATATCTACTGATTAAACAAGCGCACCTATGAAGTTCATTTGACAACAGCAGCTCTTTAGAGTCTGCTGTTTGAGGCAACAGGAGGATAAGAGCACAGCCTGCTGACTGCCACACCTAACAAAAACTGAGCCACACAAACACGACTCGGAGAGTAAATATGGGATAAGTTGTACCATATTTGTGGTCATAACAACTTTCTACCATTATTTAGGGCTCATTAGGTTAGGACAGCCTCACATCAGCCGTTAACCAGTCAGATTTTTGAAAACTGATCACTACAAAACTAAAGTGATTGATAATTTCTTTTGTTTTTAGACACCAGCAGAGCTTGCTCTTCACACCAAATATCATATCTGTGGGAACGTGTTTTAGTTGTGGGGGTGCTGTAAGTGCAGGCTAGAGAAATTTCATAGCCTGAAAAATGTATATAAAAATAACAAATATATGCAATGAATTGAACACTGGCAGTATGCACATTATCTGATCTGAACATGGACAAAAATAGTTTTTGCAATATACTCTTGCAGTAATACTACTCTGTCTGCTTTTTTATTACTTCAATCATACAATTAGTTCATTGATCAAATTTATTCAATCAAAAATAATGTTACTTTTGACCAAAAACATTTTAAAGCCTGCTGTTTCAACATTGTTCAATGTTTTGTATATTTAAAAAAAACAATAACATTGTTGTTAATATTAAAAAAAACAGTTTTTCACGAAATAAAAAATAGTTTAGAATATTATTAGACTTGAAATATATGTAACATAAATATATTTTTATTTAATTTACAAATTGGACATGCATGTCTTCTGACATCCATCAAGGGGGTGCTGCAGCACACACACCTCCCTTACTTCCCACATCCTTGATAAAGTAGTAACATATTATTATGAATTTCTTTATTTTTTCACATAACAGGCTTCATCCTGCTTTTCATTGTTTTATTATTTTTAGTTTCAACTTATTTAATCAATAAATCTGTTTTTATTAGCTTTTGTTCTATTTTTACTCTAAAATTACTTTTTTAACAAATCAATCCTATGTTTTTAGAATAATAATTTCAATATAAAACATTCAATATTTTTAATCTATTGGAAGATTATACGGTTTTAGTTTCAGTGTTACCGGGCTGGAAACAATTTTTAATGTTTACCTGCGCGCTTCCTGGTTTAGCCACGCCCTCCTCCAGTCCCCGGCCGCAGGTATCGCTCTCTGATTGGCTGCTTGTTTCGCTGAAACTTGAAGCGAACAGCACCAGCAGGTTTGACAACAGCTGACCCGGTTTGTTTTCTGTTTCTGTCCAACTCTCTGCTGTCACCACCGGCTTCTGAAATGGACAACTGGACCAGACCTTCTAAGATCACCTATAAACGCTGGAAGGATCCAAAACCGGGGTAAAAACAACTGAAACTACTTAAATTTGTTTTAATGTGGAGTATTGTTTGTCATGAAACATGATGCAGAAAGATGATATACCTCTGAGTGAAAGAATGTGAATCTGTGTGAGACAGCTAATGCTAACCTGTGACCTAAATTAGACCTATTACATTTATGTGACGTGTTCTAATCAATAATTCTGCTTCCTGTCTGCTGACATGTAGGGATGAGGGAGGTTTTGTGGGTCAGACTGATGAGGACCAGGTCTCAGAAACAGAGATTTGCACTGTAGCCTCAGCAGTAAATCAGTCAGAGGGCAACCAGTCAGAGGGCAACCAGTCCGCAAACAGCTACGAAACTGTTACAAATCAAGGTTTGTACACTTGTGGTATTTCTTATTTAGTCAGCATCATTGTATTTGTAAATAATGATCCAGCAGTGACCCAGTTTACCCTGTTTTCAGAAACCTTCACTGTAGACGATGCGCTGGAGGCCATCGGTTTTGGGATCTTTCAGTGGAAAATTTCTCTTGTCACTGGACTGGCATGGGTAAAAACCTCAAAACAAAACCCAGAAACTGCATTTCTTGGACGTCCTCCTAAAGTTACACGTGTCGTTCATGGCTGTGGTTCAGGTCGGGGATGCCATGGAGATGATGATCCTCAGCATCCTGGGACCCCAGCTGCACTGCGAGTGGAGGCTACCAGGCTACCAAGTGGCCCTCATAACATCCGTAAAAACCATTAGGCTGCTTTTGTATGAACTTATTAGTTTACTGTGTTTACATGTTTCTTTCTTTTTTTTAATCAGGTTGTGTTTATCGGGATGGGTATCGGCTCGCCTATGTGGGGAAACGTGTCCGACAAGTATGGCAGAAAAACAGTATGCCAAGTTTTTTTTTTGTTTTGTTTTTGTTTCTGTAGTCCGCTCCATACTATGCTATGCAGCTTTAGTGTGGTGGGTTCGGGTTCAGGTTGGGGTGGCAAGAGTGATGCTCACCCATGTGCAACGTGTGGCCTGCCTAAGCATCACAGGTACAATTAGAACTACACCCACAGCAGCCCTTGAAGTCCTACTGGACCTGACTCCACTGGATCTACACATCTTAGGGGAGGCTGCATCCAGCGCGGTGAGGTTACATCAGTCTGGCAGGTGGAAAAGCCTACCTGACTCACAGCATACCAGAATCTGGGACTGGGCAGTTACTGCTGTTACAGTAACTGCAGGCCCTGGAGACAGAATGGTCAAAAAACACAATTTTGAACCAAGGAGATTGAAGATAGGTCAGCCTGGAGTAATTTCTCTATGGTGGACCTGTCTCCAAATTATTTCTACTGCTTTACAGACGGATCCCTTATAAAGGTGTCAGCAGGTGCAGGGGTGCTGATTCTGCACAACCATAGCAAGAGAGAGTATAGTTGCCCACTAGGCGGTTTTGTAAAGGTATCTCAAGCTGAGATATATGCAATCCATCAGTGTGCGGCATCTCTCAAAGAACTTCAGTGTATGCAGAAGGAAATATTCATCCTGACAGATAGRCAAGCTGCTATTAAAGCTCTCCAAGGGCCGCAGTTCATGTCACTACTGACTTGGGAGTGTGCCGAAGCAGTCAACCAACTGGGGAGAGATAATAGTGTTACTGTTAAATGGGTACCAGGACATACTGGCATTTATGGTAACGAGAGAGCTGACTACCTTGCAAGAGCTGGCAGTCAGGCCCACGTTAAAGGACCAGAGCCTGTTATGGGCGTTTCAACAACAATCTGCAGGACTGCCCTACAGGCATGGATCAGACGTCAACACTCAATCCGATGGAGGGAGRTGACGGATTGTAGACAGGCACGGGAACTGATAAACAACCCAAATCATGGATTTGGAAAATCCCTTCTTGCCTTGACAATGAATACTTTAAGTACACTGATTGGAGTCCTAACTGGGCACAACCTGCTCAACCGCCATAAAATGGTGATGGGAATCCAAGACAATGGTCTGTGTGATGCCTGCGACATTGAATCAGAGACCTCTTTGCACTACTTAGGCCAATGCTTGGCTCTGAGTAGTCTAAGGGAAAGAATTCTTGGAGACCCCTTTATGGATCCCGAGAAGCTTAGAACACTGAGGGTTTCTAACCTGGTGTCCTTCATCCGAGGGACAAAAAGGTTTGATTAAAGCCCAGTATCTTTTGGGGAGAGCAATGGGCCCACTTATGAGGCCCCCGCTCACCTGGGTTGTACCCATCCCCAATTACCATTACCATTACCATGGCAGAAAAACAGTATGCCAAGTTTTTTTTGTTTGTTTTTTTTTTCAAAGATTTAATGGTATCACCTGGTGTGTTTATGTATATGCATGTGTTTAAAGGGTTTGACACTTTGTATGTGCTGGATTCTGTACTACGGCCTGCTGAGTGCCTTCAGTCCAGTCTACGGGTGGCTTTTAGTTCTTCGGGGCTTTGTAGGTTTTGGCATCGGAGGAGCCCCTCAGTCGTAAGTGTACTTGTTTTATTTCTATACAGTGAGATAAATCTGCAATTCTTCAATGACTAGAAGAGAGTGTTTGTTATAAACGATAAATGTTCTGTCTTCTTGTGAATGGGTATTCTGAACTGTAATTTCATTGTGCTCTGTACAATGACAATAAAGGTCTATCTTACCTTATCTTATAAATATCCACCGTGTTTTTAGAGTGACGCTGTACTCCGAGTTCCTGCCAGTGAAATCGAGGGGCTTCTGCATTATGCTGATTGCGGTAATTTGATGTTGATAATGAAAGCTGTATTTTAGTTGAAGTGCTACACAGAAATCCATCCTGATTTTATGTTTGTTTGTTTTTTGTTTTTGTTTTTTCCCAGGCTTTCTGGGCAATCGGTGCTGTGTTCGAGGTCCTCCTGGCCCTGTGGATTATGCCCACTCTGGGCTGGAGGTGGCTGCTTGGCCTGTCTGCCATACCAGTCGGAATATTTGTTTGTTTCTGCTTTGTGAGTCTGTTTAGGGCACTTTAAAAAAAGATGCCTGCAGTGAAAACAGCAGCTCTCAGCTCCGTGTTTGTGTTTGACACAGTGGCTGCCTGAAAGTCCACGTTTCGACGTGCTGTCYGGACGGAGGGAAAAGGCCATGGCAACATTAACACGCATCGCTGCAGAGAACGGCAAGACGATGCCTCGGGGAACTCTGACTGAATATAAACAGGTGGCGTTAAATTAGCTCTGAATGAGACAAAAAATTTTCATCATTTATATTTACACACGTCTTCTTGGTGTTCATATGTCACAGCATGTCCGTGGACGGGTCAAAGATCTCTTCACTCCTCAGTACCGGACAACTACACTTCTTCTGTGGTTTATATGGTTAGTTTAGCACACCTTTCCTCACCCAGGTTCTTTATTATAGTATTAAATCAAACAGAATTGTTTATTTAAGATGTATCTGTTGAGCAAAGCAATTATCTTTGGGAGTGTCATCTTATCTTTTTATTTGGATGAAGTGACAGAACATATAATTCACACATCCTGGTTTGTTATTCTTTATATGGGAAACGAAAGACATCTAAATAAAGTTTATTCCTGATTTTATCTAAAGGTTTACGAATGCCTTCTCCTACTATGGGATTGTCCTGTTGACAACGGAGCTATTCCAAGCAGGAGATTCATGTGGTGGTGTGTAACCTTTTTCCTTTCAGAAACTTTGTCCGAAATTTGAGGAAAACCTCAAAAAAAAGTTTCTTTCTTACAGTTTCCCAAGGGGCCAAGATTGAGCCAAGGTGCAACCTTGAATGTAAATATTTAACATCAGATGACTACAAAGATCTGTTATGGACAACTTTGGCTGAGTTCCCAGGTAAAATGTGCCTGATTTTTTTTCCCCTTGTAGGTGTGTGTGTAGGTGTGGAGTTGTTCATTACTATAAGGGACATTTCACTGTGTTCACCTCTTAGGCCTGAAGTGTTCTGCTTAAATCAGGGATGTCATGAGAATCATGGCTCTTAAAGGGTCAGTTGTAATAAACTTTGCCACTTTGTGTTTAACTTTGAACACAAAACATCAAATTCATTGTCTCATTGCTACAGCATCAGTAACAAACAATAAATGAGCTCTACGTGGCATTTCTTTCATAGAAATAGTGTTTTAGCGCCTCCTCTTATAAACACTGAAAAGTACTGCCTGTATGACTGACTAAATAAAATATAAACTGAAGCTTCTATGTTGAACAGTTTCTGAGTTATAACCATTTTTCTTTGTCCAGACACCCCTTTTTCAGGTAAATTGGGGGGTGGGGGGTGGGGGGCACTGATTGTTGAGCCTGATGGATAGAGCTTCATCAGAGCCAAACAACAAAAGAAATTTGAAGCTTCTATTTTGAACAGTTTCTGACTTATAAGCATCTTTGCATGTCCAGACACCCACTTTTTGAAAGGAGCCCCCTCCTCAAATATGGAGTCTATCCTAAAACCGTTGGATGGCGCAGTGT